CAAGAGGGCTACATACAGTCTAATCCCATCACAGAGTTAAGAAAAGATGAGTATAGTGCATTTTAAGAGTTGGAGCTAAAACAGTAAAGAAAAGCAATTGTTAACAATAATTAAGTGTAGTTACTACATCTGGTGGAGGAGGGCATGGCAACCTACTCCAGTATTCCTGCCTGGAGAATCCCCAGGGACAGAGGAGCCTGGTGGACTACAACCCATGGGGATTGCAAAGAGTCAGACACAGCTGAGCGACTAAGCACAAATACATCTGGGGAAGAGAGAGATAAGAAGGGCTTTCAGAGTAATGGTGACATTCTAGTTTTTAGGTTGGATAATGAATATAGGGATGATTTATTACCTTTATTTAAAATACATGTGTGTGTATATATATAGTTATACATATTCTTTTGTTTACATGAGATGTTTCATGGTTTTGAGAAGTTGATGATCTGAATAGTCCAGGCTGAAAGCTGAAAGCTGTCATTTTAACAAAACAATCAAGGTGGTTTGTCGCACCAGCCATTGGCCTTGCAGCACGGTCTGGTTGCCACCCGTCCACTGTGGGCTTCCCACTCAGAAACGGTTCCCCCGTGTGGTGTTTGATGCGTGCCCTGCTTCCCTGGACACAGGAATCTTTATTCCCCTGGAGAAAAAGAATCCAAACACTGGGCTTCCAACTGCAAGGGCACAGGCCTGGGGTCCGGGCACATGCGTGCCTCATCAGCAGCGGGTGGCGGCCCAGGTGGCTTATGTCACAGACATGCTGTCTCCCAGGGATGCCCCTCCAGAGAGAGGCCCTCAGCTGCTGGACACTTGAGGGGCAGCTTGCAGATGTTTGAGACCCTCCAGGGCAGCCTCCCTCAATCCTACACACCTAGCAGGTCTGGTGGGAGGGTTCAGAATTCGCCTGGTCTCAAAGCTCAGCTGCCCAACTGCTAATGATTTTCGAGGGCAGTCTTCTTGCTGTTCTGCCTGGAGGAGGAAAGATGAAAGCAAGCCGCCCTGTGGATTTCCGTGTTGTTTTTCTTTCTCCATTTGTAGTCACTTCATTTGTTACTTTGTGGATGCACTTTTTTTTCCTGAGGCAAAAATATGAGTGTCAGTTCCCACTCCCAACTTAAAAGCCCGTAGAGCAACAGTCTTAATAACCAGGGTCACATAGAGAAAGTGCTCCAAACAAGCATGAAACTGACATTGATTTCTTTGCCTGGAATAAAAAAAAATAAGTGTCTGTGAGTCATCTTTGGATTTGCATTACAAACAGAAATGCAAATGACACCTCTGTCTGCGTAACCTACAGATTTCAAAAATGTGTTTTGATTTGGTTCATTTTAAGCAAAATATGCGGTTTACCAAAATCCTACAAATTTCCAGTGAAGTATTCAGAGTTTGAGGTTTGCTTGTGTTGATGACTCATTTTCTCTTTTGTTTTCTGTTTTTGTTCTTGATTTACCTTAACCTACCTGCTGACTCACGCCACCCAACCAACATACAATGCGAAAACCATGTCTCCGTCTGTATGTTGCGCGCCTGCTGCTCAAACATCCCAATTTGTAAATAACACGCAAATATCCATCCATGAAAACATCACATATAGGAAACGGTTGGTTTCATGACTTATACAGTTCTTAAAGCTCTTTGCTTTGCTTGCTCTGCTCCACTTTTCCTCTGCTTCCTGCCACCCTCACCACCGCCCCCCTGTGCTCAGAGCCCAGCTGCACCCGCCCCCCTGGCCTCTAGTGCGCTCTCCCTGGCTCCCGGGTCCCACAGGGCCTTCTGAGGGCCCTCAGGGGGCCACTTGATCACAGGAGCTGGCCTTGGGCCAAGAGAGGAGACGGGGGCTTCTGAGTGAGAGGCAGGTAAGTGTCGAGACTGGGTCAGAATTGGGGGGATTGCTGGATGCGAGGTTGGACCTGCTCCCTGTAGAGTCCACGGTTTCTGCTGCATCTCCCTTCTGCTCTGCCTCTGTTGGCCAGCAGACCAAGTGGGCTTGGGTCCACCTCTGATGAAGTCTCCTGTCGGGTCCTTCCTGGACAGACCGTCCGTGGAGGCCTGGCTGGGGGGCACAAGCCTTGGGGGATTGTCCTGACTGAGCAGGAAGAGGGCCTTTGCCCCAGGAGGCAGCAGAGAGCTGGGCCTCCATCCAGCACCGTGGATTCCTGCGTGCCCTGGTCCGCGAGCTTGTGTGGAGCCCGTGCAAGTGGTGTGGACAGGGCCTCCTTCTGGGTCTCAGGAAAATCTGAGGGAGAGTGGGGATGCTGGAGCAGACTGAGCCAAGGCCTCAGCTGGAAGTTCATGCAAAGAGCAAATATTTCAGATTCCGGAACAGAAAGTGAATGTGGTAAAGCGGTTCACAATCGGAGCAGAAAAGCTTGAGTTTTGAGAGAGAGACATTTAAGCTGCAGAAGTACCAGGCTGCATCTTTAGCACAGGCTCCAGGCTCCCCTGGTGCCGTCAGGCCTCCGCTCAGCCCTTCTTGCCGCCTCCAAGCAGGCCCCTCGGGCACTTCCTCCTCAGCACGTGTGGGGCCCCCGGCACGTGCGCACAGTCTGAGGGGGGGCCCCTCATTCTGCTGTGAGTGTGCCCAGACGCAATGATGTGCTTGGACACAGGAGATGAGGGCCTTGGCCTGGGGTCCACTTGCCTTTGTGGCTCCCATCTCAGTGCTGGGTGTGCTATAAGCTCCTTTTCTCGGTGATTCCTCACCCCCAGGCATGATGTCCTAACACCGCCATCATGGGGAGGAGGAAGCAGGCACTCAGTGGAGCTGGGGACCAGTGTCTCCTCAGTGTAAAGCAGCTGCTGTATTGAGGGGTGCAGCACTGACCTTTCTGGCTCAGAGGCAGGGGTGATAAGGGGGGACCTGACTTGAAAGTAGGTGTGTCTACTCCAGGGCACAACAGAAACCATGGACTCTGGGGGATGTGGAAGGTTGTGTCCACCTCCAGGGGTTGGCTGAGGCCAGGGGTGACCGTGCTCAGCCATGGGGAGGCCACCACGTGCTTGCTGCCCCCACCGTCCAGCATGCGGCCCGCATGGTGCTGTCTGGCGGCTTGTGCCCTGGGTGCAGCCGTGGTGCGCTCAGGCCATCACACTGCTTGCGGCATCTGTAGCTGCCTCACCATCCTCCTTCATGACTCCCTAGGGCTGTCTGTCTGTTGGCACCCTCACCCTCTCCTAGGTGCCCACTGGAGCCCCGAGGAGGAAGTCTGGGAGGATGGGTGGGGCCTGGGTGTCAATGGAAAATGTTACGTGGCTGAGCTCTGCGTCCAGGGACTTGAATGGACAGCACCTTCCTCTGTCTGCTCTGGTATCCGTCCCTTCTTTATTACCCAGAAGACTATTTCCTCCCAGTATTTTCAGGAAATCATCTTGTCTGTGCCAATTGCCTGAGCAAATTGCTTTTGTCCTGGCCCTTCCAGATCCACATGCACAGGTGGTTTCAAAGCGAAGAAGCTTGAGGAGGCAGCCCCTCGCCCCTGCTGTGCTTCATTGTCTTGTACAAAGGGCTCCCTGACAGCGTAAACAGTCCCCCTTCCATCCTCCTGAGATCACTAGCTCACCTGAGAGTCCTCAGGGCCCCGGGGACTCAGAGAGTGTGGATGTATCTCATCTACCCTGTCTACCCTGAGGGTCTCTTTCCCCAGCACAAGCTAGTGGGAGAGCTGCAGGCAAATGAGAACACCCTCCAGGATCACGTCCCGAGGTCCACTCTGCCTTCTTGCTGATCTGCACCACAGTCGGCCCTTCTGTGCCTGTGAACTGCCCTGTCCCCCTGTGGCATTGTCTAAAACTTGGCACCACCCCCCCAGGGTAGCTTATGTCCCTCACCAGCAGACAGTCCAGAGTCCCGGGGGTGGGGGTGGGGGGTAAGTAAAGAAGCCAGCCCCTGAGATGAGGCAAGCAAGGGGTGGAGTGAGGCCTGTCCCCCGATGGACACCTCATCCCAGCCGAGATCAGATAGGCAGCCCTGGAGTGGGGACGCGGCTCCTCCCAGGCCCTGCTGCCGCCTGCATGAGCTCGCCGCTGCCGCCACCTCATTCAACACCTGCTTTCTTTCCTCTGTGTCTGACCACTGAATCTGGCAACACAATGTGTCTAGCCTGAGCTGCTTGCATATTTTAAAACAGCAAAGTGTGAGGAAGCTGCTCTCAGGCTGCGTGTGGGAGGGCAGAAGAGGGCACCTGGTTTCTAAGCAAGCAGGGCAGGAAGCCCCCCGTGCCCATGAGCACCCCTTTCTACTCAGGGACACTGCCCAGAGCCAGGCCCCCTGAAAGGGATGTGCCAGGGATTCAGGTGCCCCTGGGCCAGGGTGGAAGCCTTACTCCCGGGTCATCTGTAGAGTCCAGAGATTATCGGTTTGCTCTGTGCTTGACTTCGGACCCTCTGGATGAGGGCGTGCTGCGAGACATCTTGGGTTCTCTAGAGCAGACACTGGTCTGGGGGCTACGGAGGGGGCTTTTTGGGCGGCAGCAGAAGGGCTGCCACCACCTACACCTCCTGCCAGGACTTGTCTGCGGGTCCCTGCCTGGCCCCAGAGGACGCGTCTGCCTCTCTGCTGGGCCCTGGGTGGCAGGGCCTTGCGGGCGTGTGGGAGACAAGGGTGTGGCCACCAAGTTGAGGAGAGGCAGCCCCGCCCAGTCCCTGGGCTGCTCAGCTGTGTCCGCAAGAGGCGGTCAGTGTTGGAGGCCTGGCTGCGGACAGCCTCCCGTTCCACCTGGCAGCAGGGCGCTGCTTCGCAGGACTTCTCTGTCCCTCCCTGTGGAGGGAGTGTCTCTGATTGCTGCATGAGAAGTTGTTGGCAATGACAAGCTTTACTTTTGAAAGATTTTCTGGTGGCTGATTGCTGCTTAGACTGTGAAGCAGTGACTTTTTGTTTCAGTCTCTCCTCACCTGCTTTTCTTCGGGACACAGTGACTTGGGGAGGTGGGTGGGAAGCCGCCTCCCTGTGCCTGTGAGAGGCTGGCTTCTGAAGGTCAGAGCACAATCTCTTTTCCCTGCAGAACAACTTCATCAACCTTAGCTTCCTCCGCCTCTTCCGTGCTGCCAGACTCATCAAGCTGCTCCGCCAAGGCTACACCATCCGCATCCTGCTCTGGACCTTCGTCCAGTCCTTCAAGGTGAGGCCGGGCGTGGCCAGGCAGGGCCTGACCTCTCCCTCGTTGTGCCAGTGGGGAAGCTTCTGCCCCATCAGCCAAGCACTCTCCTTGGGAAGACCAGGGTGGGTGCCCACGTGGGTGCCCACCCCTCCCACGGCCCCGGTTGTTGCTGTGATAGTTTGTTAGGACACTTTCAGTTTTACAGAGAGTGTCTTGTTTATGCTCACAAAGGGCCGAGGTGGCTTTTATGACTTGGTTTGCAAATGAAGATGATGGGCACTTGGTGAAGGGGCTTGGTGGTCAGTGGGGCTGGGTCTGTAGTCAGCTAAGGCCAGTGTGGCCCAGAGACCCAGCCAGTGTCCACTCTCCAGATGTGGTGCAGGCAAGGGGGCGGGTGGCTCTCCTGGCGCTGAGCCGCCCTTCCTGTGTCTCTGCAGGCCCTGCCCTATGTGTGCCTGCTCATCGCCATGCTGTTCTTCATCTACGCCATCATCGGCATGCAGGTGGGTGTGTGCAGGGCGTCACATGACAGCAGAGACTGGTCGGCACTTAGCAGTGTTTCTGTGAGCCAGAGGCCAGTCTAAGTACTTTATGAACTTAATTCTTAGAAAGGCTGTTCTGTAGCTGAGGCCAGGCATTGCCACCCTTTGTGGGCAGATGCATGGCCTTGCTCTTGCGTGGAATCCCTCTGGTCTGTGTCAGGGCGCTGGTGGGCACGATTGCTTGGGTGCTGGGCCTGCACAGTGTGGAGTATTTGAACATATCCGCATAGCCCAGGTGGCCTGCACCGCAGCAGCTGGTCATGCCTTTAGCACTTCTGAAGGACGTAGGGATGGGAGGTGGTCTCAAATGTTAATTTGTGGTGGGAGAAGACAGTGTCTTAAAGGTTAAGACACTGAAATCTGAAAACCGATTTTTAAACTCATATTTTCAGGGATTGAAAGTTCTCTTGCTTGAAATTTACTGAGATCTGATGCTATTTAAAACAAATACATGTTTTTCTTGCTGTGGTCTATGGACATACAAAAACAGCCCAGTGATCTTTGTTTTTGATGGATATATGATAATTCATAAATTTTCAGCTGGATTCCAGATTTTAAGCTACTTAAAGTGAGGGACTTATTTGCATTTCTAACCCTGAAAGAAAGAAATTAAAATGGGTAGAAAGCCCATTGTGGTGTTTGCACAAAAATGTTAAAAAAAACTTACAAGTGATCTATCAGAATACCAGTATAATTACTGTTTTGGGGTCACTGATGAGAGAGTGAATTTTAAAATGATCTCCTCGGTGCTCGCTTCGGCAGCACATATACTAAAATGATCCCCTCCTCCTGTCTAGCAGAGCCCACCTAAGCTTAGCTCTGGGCCCCAGTTTTTACTGGTTATGCTATTTGATCCTGGACAGGTTCATAGCCAGAGCCTGCTCAAACTGGGCTGTGTGACAGTGACATGTTAGACTTTCCAGAGGTTTTTGTCTTCCCTGGAAATAAATGCACAGATGCTGCTGGAGCCAGACGCCCTGACCCTCTAGCCCCAGCAGCAGTACTGGCAGCTCTGGTCGGGGTCCCTGGGTGAGGGCAGTCCTGGCCCGTGTGGTCCCCACGTGCACACCCACAGCCCCTTGCCTGGCCACAGCTCCTGAAGACGCAGCGGCACTGGTCTGCAGGGCTGTCTGCCTTTTTCTCCATTTCAGGTGTTTGGAAACATCGCTCTGGATGATGACACCAGCATCAACCGTCACAATAACTTTCGGACGTTTCTGCAAGCCCTGATGCTGCTCTTCAGGTGTGTTGTGGGAGGTGGAGGTGGGTCCAGAATCAGAGGCTCCTCATTCAGTGTGTTGTGTGGAGGTAGGTCCAGGCTCAGGGACTCCTTCATTCAAGAAGGACCCACCCTCTTCTCCTCGCCATGCTGGCTTCTCTCTGGTGGGCCTTCCCAGTTTCTCCTCCCTTTCTGCTTGTTCGTCCTTAATGGCTCCTGGGCCTGAAGGGAGACCCGCGAGGCAGTCAGCCTGAGACCCCTGGGCTGGGCTGACTCGCCCACCTTATCTCTGCTGCCCAGCGAGGTCTTGAAGGACAGGTGTCGAAAGAGCCTTTCTTGGTGTGCCAGCCCCAAGCTTCCCATCTGCTTGCCTTGGTGATTTCGGGCGTCTCTGGGATCAGGAAGAGCTGACAGCAGGCGGCTGCTATCGACAGGGTGGACCCTCTCAGTGACCCAAGGAGCCAAACTGGCCCGACCTGTGGGTCTGAGGGCAGCTCCTTCCGCCTCTGTCGCTCACAGGCGCTGCAGTCCCCACGGCTCCAGGGTGCAGTCAAGGGGAGCACCAGGGCAGGGCCTTGAGGAGCACAGACTTGCGTCAGCTCAGAGGCCTCCCTGCAGAGGTGGAGGGGGCATGGCTCCCCAGCCATTGCTCTCAGGCATGGGCACACATGGGCTGGGGCTGCCCACCACCCTGGTGTAAGAATGCACTCGTGGGTAGAGCCCAGGTGGTTAACTGTGTCTCCTTCATTTGCTGTGATCCTCGGGGAGGGGGAAAAGTGCTCTCTCTAGTAATTTATGATGAGGAGCCTCATAATGAATTAATATTTAATTAATAAATAAACAACAGACCCCACCTTGGGCCCCTTCCTGAGGTTTCCCTGCTCTGTCCACTTTTGGGGACACCCAGCTCAGCTGACCCTATGCAGATGCATTTGGGAGGTGTGGGAGCTCATTTTTTGGAGGGTGAGCTCAGGCCAGGCCTGGAGAGAGTTTCTTACTTACTCTTTGCATCAGATAAGCAGCATCCTTAGGCTGACAGTTCCCCGAGTAGTGCCCTTTCTCTGCACTTTAGCTCTTACGTCCACCTTATTTCTTTGTTTATTAATATCCTGCTTTGTGTCACAAAAGATATGAAGCCAGCCTTGATTTTAAATCTTTGATCTCAAAGATCTCTGTTCCTTCCTCATCACATGGGCACCCTCATCATTCAGGCCTGGCACAGGCTGAACTGGCCATTGTTAGTGGGGAGTGGACCCAGCTTCTGCCCAGGACTGACCACACAGGGGCACGCTGGGCCACCTGCAAGTCTTATGCACATCTGGCCTCTGTGCTGGCTTCATGCACAGGAGCAAAAGGCCACACAGGAGCACTGCTGTGGTAGTTGGTCAGGGTTGAGGGTTCTTGATGTGTTCAAGAGACAGTAGAAGCTGGGGCAGCTGCGGTAGAGTGAGTGGGGACCGTGGTAGGGGATGAGGTCAGGGAGAGGGCAGCTGCAGTGCCACAGAGCTCTAGGCAGTCATGTAGGGGTCACTGGGAAGGTCTTTGATCTGATCTGCTGGGCTACTGGGCAGGGGAGCATCCAGTTAAGGAGCTGTTGCTGCAGCTCAGAAGTGGTTGCCCAGCCCAGGGAGGTGGGGGTAGTTAAGAGCCTGGCTGTTTTTGAAGGCAGATCAAGATGTGGCGAGAGAGAGGAGGCAAGGATGACTCCCGTATCTTTGGCCTGAGCACTGGGAAGGATGCAGTCACCGTGTCCTGAATCCAGGAGGACTAGGTGGCACACACTGGGGAGGAGATCAGAATCCACGGAGGGAGCTCACCGTGGTGCTGACTTCGGTGCCGTGATTCCTTTCCTGTAACACATGCTTTCCCACTTCGGATCAGCTTGAAAATCTAATGCCAGAGGTTCCTTTTTAAGAACCAGCATCTGTTACCCAGAGCTAACACCTGTGCAGGATCGCTGTGGGAGGGAAAGCAGTTCTCCTAAATCCCTGGGCTTCCTTCCCGGCCAGGCCCGGGCCTTCCCTCCTGGCCTCACACTCTGCCCTCATCTCAGGAGTGCCACCGGGGAGGCCTGGCATGAGATCATGCTGTCCTGCCTCAGCAGCCGGGCCTGCGACGAGCTCGCCAATGCCACGGAGTGTGGGAGTGACTTCGCCTACTTCTACTTTGTCTCCTTCATCTTCCTTTGCTCCTTTCTGGTGAGTCCTGGGCCCCGTGTGCACCCCGTTGCCACATCTGCCTGTCTCAGACCAACTTGAGTCCCCCTGCTCTCTTGCTGACACCCAATTTTGACCCATGATGCATGAAAGCTGATTCCATGTTGATGGTCCTTGTTTCCTTGGAGACGAGGACCATGTTAATCCTGAAAGGACCCACTGAGTAATGAGCTCCTATGGGCCTGCCTTCACTTCTGTGGAAAGGGTTTTTACATTTCTGTGGGGCACTATCCCTCAGGTCTCAGCTAGAAGGACTTACACCGTGGTGACAAGATATAAGCACCAGCACTCTAGCCAGCCTGCCTGTGCCTGATGAGGTTCAGGAAACTCATGGGGTCAGGCTGGAGGTCTCAGCCGGTCACGCCGCAGTGAGTGGATTTTATCACAAGTCAGCAGAAGCCTCTGGGAGACTATGCACAGTGACATCATCTACTTGACATCTTAAAACCTCACTCTGGCTTCTGGTCAGGAGAGGCTGTGTGTGGCCAGGAGCTGACTGGAAGTGATGGCTGGAGAAGGGAGGGTGTGAAGGAAGCTGTGTGGACGGGGGCCACCCTGTGCAGGCCGAGCGTACGTGGTTGGTGACTGAACACGGGCGTGAGAGAAAAGGGGGAAGAGGGCTGTGTTCTGGGGCTTGCTGGGGTGACGCAGTGAAGGATTCTTCCCCGGAGGGGAAAGGTTGGGGAGCTGCAGGTGCACGGATAGGGAGGGAGGGAGGGAGGGATGGGAGGAGCTGAGGCACATGGGAGCCTCTGGCTGGAGATGTGAATTTGCTGTCATTAGTGTTTGGTGTATCAGTCAGGCTGGATGACACCCTCTAGGTCCCTGTGTGGCCCAGAGACCCATGACTTAAGCATCACCTGAGCACTTGTTAGAAATTCAGATTCCTGGGTCCCTTCTAAGATTTACCGTACTGGAATCTTTGGGAGAGGGACCCAAGAGTCTGTGTTCTAACAATCTCCCAGGTGCCTCTACTCCCTCCCCTACATACACTTTGCTGTGCACCTAGCATAAACCAACTATACTTTAAGAAAAACTTTTAAAAATTAAATACAAAAAAACCCAATGACAAGATAGGAGGCCTCATACTTTGTGATTTAAAATTTGACACCAAAACTTCAGTAATCAAAACAGTATTATACTGGCATAATCCAAACACATACACTGAAGCAATAGAGTTGAGACTAGAAATAAATCCTCATATGCATGGTCAAAAGATTTCTAAGAAGGCTGCTGAAACCATTTAGTTAGGAAACATAAACTTTTCAACAAATGGTGCTGGATACCCACATGCAAAGAAAAATGAAGTTGACTTTACACCATATGTAAAAATTAGCTTGGTACTTACCTGGGGGTCCAGCGTTCAAGACTCCACACTTGCACTGCAGGGGGCACACGTTTGATCCCCACTTGGGAAATAGGATCCATATGCTATGGGGCATGGCCAAAAAAAGAAAAAGAAAAAAGAAAAGAAAAGAAATTACCTCAAAATTTATAAAGACCTGAATACAAGAGCTTAAACTATAAAACTCTTAGAAGAAAACATTGTAGTCTCAGAGTCATAACCTCAGATTTGGCAAAAGATTCTTAGATTTGACACCATAATCCTGGGTAAGAAAAGGAAAAAATGGACTATTCAAAATTTGAAACTTTTGTGCATCAGAGGATACTATTATACAAGGTGAAAAGGCAACACAAGGAATGGGAGAAAAGTTTTGCAAATCATGTGTATGATAAGGGGTTAATATCCAAAATATATAAAGAGCTCCTGCATCTCAACAACAAAAGATAGCCATCTAAAAATGGACAAAGTACTTAGAGAGACATTTCTCTAAGAAAAAAGCTGCACAAATGGCCAACGAGTACAGAAATATTCCCAACTTCAGTAATCATTAGGGAGAAGCAAACCAAAGCCCATGAAATACCACTTCATACCTATCAGTATTGCTATTTGAAAAAACAAGACAAAACAGCAAGCTTTGTGAGGATATGGAGAAACTGACACCCTTGTGCAGTGCACATGGAAATGTAAAATGGTATAGCCACCATGGAAAACAGTATGGTGATTCCTTAAAATATTAAATGTAGAATTATGGTATGATTCAACAATTCTACTTCTGGGCGTAGCCCAAATGTCCATCAGTAGATGAATGGATAAACAAATTGCACTTCAGTTCAGTCGCTCAGTCACGTCTAACTCTTTGTGACCCCATGGATGGCAGCATGCCAGGCTTGCCTGTCCATCACCAGCTCCCAGAGCTTGCTTAAACTCATGTCCATCGAGTCGGTGATGCCATCCGTCTATCTCATTCTCTGTCGTCCCCTTCTCCTCTTGCCTTCAATCTTTCCCAGCATCAGGGACTTTTCCAGTGAGTCAGTTCTTTACATGAGGTGGCCAAAGTTTTGGAGTTTCAGCTTCAGCATCAGTCCTTCTAATGAATATTCAGGGTTGATCTCCTTTATGATTGACTGGTTTGATCTCCTTGCAGCCCAAAGGACTCTCAAGAGACTTCTCCAACACCATGGTTCAAAAGCACCAATTCTTCCGTGCTCAGCTTTCTTTGTGGTCCAACTCTCACATCCAGGCATGACTACTGGAAAAACCATAGCTTTGACTAGACGGACCTTTGTTGGCAAAGTAATGTCTCTGCTTTTTAATATGCTGTCTAGGCTGGTCATAGCTTTTCTTCTAAGGAACAAGTGTCTTAATTTCATGGCTGCAGTCACCATCTGCAGTGATTTTGGAGCCCCCCAAAATAAAGTCTGTCACTGTTTCCATTGTTTCCCCATCTATTTGCCATGAAGCGATGGGACCAGTTGCCATGATCTTCGTTTTTTGAATGCTGAGTTTTAAGCCAGCTTTTTCAGTCTCCTCTTTCACTTTCATCAAGAGGCTCTTTAGTTCTTCTTCACTTTCTGCTATAAGAGTGGTATCATCTACCACATTTGTCATAAACAAGTTGTACAGACCTGCAAAGGAATATCATTTAGCCATAAACAAGAATGAAGTTCTGACAAATGCTGCAATATGGATCAACTTCGAAAACATCACACTAAGTGAAAGAAACCTGACACAAAGGTCACACATTGTATGGATCCTTTTGCTTGAAATGCCCCAAATAGATAACTTTCTAGGTTCAGAAAGGAAATTGGTGGTTTCCAGAGAATGGGAGGAGAGAGGTATAAGGAATGATTACTTAGTACTGTGTATTCTTCAGGAGTATGAAAAAAATTTGAAACTAGGTAAGTGGTGGTTCACAGTATTGTGCATACACTAAATGCCACTGAATTGTAGACTTACTTGTATGTTAAGTGAATTTCAACTCAGTTTAAAAAAACAAAACAAAAATGCCTGAGTTTTAGGTCTCTAGAGCTCAAGTTATTAAGTCCAAAGTCACCACTTTCCTTGAAGGCTTAGGTGAGAAGGGGAAAGCTGGGGACCTCACAGTGGGGAAGATTAACCCAGATGGCAGGACAGATGGTTGGCAGGAGTTGACAGGACTGAGTGAGGATGGTGCAGGAGATGTAGAGACTGAAGCCTTCAGAGGACCAGATCCGCGGCTAGGGTTGGCCTGTGGGACCTGGAACCAGGGAAGGGTGCTGCTGGTGGTGGCGGCGATGTGCAGGGGGCCTGGGAAGCCCTCTGAGGCCATGGGGGGAGCAGGTGGGGCAGGCTGTACGTGAGTCAGCGACCCCTGCCGCCCTAACTGCCTCGCACAGAGCCTTCTGTCGCAGGGGAGGGGAGGGCAGTGGGCAGGCCGAGGCTTCTGGACGTCACCTCTTTTCCTTCCTGTCCTGCAGATGTTGAACCTCTTTGTGGCTGTGATCATGGACAATTTTGAGTACCTTACGCGGGACTCTTCCATCCTAGGGCCTCACCACCTGGACGAATTCATCCGGGTCTGGGCTGAGTACGACCCGGCTGCGTGGTGAGTGAGCTCCTGGGCTGCGTGGTCCTCAGGGTCGGTACCCACCACCCGCAGGCCTCAGCACGGGGCCGGGTCACTGCAGGCATGTTCTGAATGAGCGACCCCCTTTGGGTTTTGGTGGGGGTCGGGGTTCTATCCTGATACACATGTGGTGTTGCTGAGCTTCCTCCTGGGAGGCACACTCACGCTAGCTCCCTGGGCCCTTGTGTACAGCTCCCTGGGCTGACAGATCCTCTTCTCAGGCCTGTAGTCCAGCCCTTAGGAGGTTGCCTGGGGGTTGTGGAAGGTCTTCAGGGGGTTGTGACACTCAGGTTCCTATTGGGCAGGAGCTCACTGTCTTCTCACAAGGCACGTCACATCCGGGTTGTGAGAGGTCACGGGGCAAAACCCTCTCATAAGGCTCCGAGGCCTCTATGGCCAGAAACAATGTGAGGCCTTAGTTCTTTTCCTCTGGGCTCAGGGCCTGTCTGCCTGCTGCCTTCTGGAGGACAAGAGCCAGTGCGCCTCTGTGTCACCAGCCCAGGCTGTGAATAAAGGGTTTTCGGTAAACTTTTACTGAGATCAGATGAACTGCCAGTAAAGGTCTAGTGTGTCTGAGGCCCTTTGGTCATGGTGTAAAACTGTTAATGCGTTGCTGTTTCATAAGTGAGGGCCAAGTGCTTCCAGACAAAGCAAGGGTCTCCTGAAGAGAGTGATTGGGTCAGAGGACAGTGAGGACCATGTGTTTCTTGGGGGAGCCCTGCACACCTGTGATGTTTTGTCCTCGGGCCCAGCACAGCAGTGCGGGTCCTCCGTCTGCCCGTTTGTCTGTCCCTTGGTTGAGTTCATTCCCTTGCCTGTTTGTCTGTCCTTTGTCGCGCACCCGTTCCCTTGCTCATTCATTCAGGCACCCTCCAGAGCCATGACCTGAGGAGGCACTAAGGACATGCCCTCTGCGGCAAAACACGGGATGTGGAGGGAGGCCCGAGAGACATGGCTCCTGGGTGAGACCCAGGCCTGCTCAGTGCCTTGCTCACAGTGAGCCCAGGACTGAATAAGTACCAGGGAGGGGGCTCCAGGGAGACAAGAAGAGCGTGGAACTGGGGTGCTTCCCTCTTCTTTCTCGCAGGCGCCCCAGCCTGCCTGCGTCCCTGTTGCATGACTCTGCATTCGGTCACCTGTTGTGTGGTAGAGGCTTGGAGGAGACGGTCAGTGTCCTCATGGGAGGACCCTGGGACTCTGAATCCAAGCTCAACAAGGGGAACACTGAGGAGCTTTCTGATACCCCAGACCCCCAAAGGGCTGGGAGCTTGACTGGGCTCCTGTACCTGCTTCTGATCCAGTCTTCTTAGCCTTCCCACCCATCACAGTGAGGACACAGAAGGTGCTATGTGAGGCCCTTTCCAAACTGGGCAGCGCCAGGGCCCTGGGGCTCTTCTAGGCCTAGAGCATCTCTGAGTGTTTTTCACTGCAATGAAGAGTTTGTAGTTTTCACACAGTGCAGAACAAGCCTGCCTGTTGTTTATGTCTCATGTATATGACTTTTCATGGTCTTAGAGAGTCCTGTCGTTTTTAGCACATTTGCCCACAGCACGTGCTGGAGCTCACAGGCCCAGGCGTATTCCTGGGCTGTCTGGTCAGGAAGGCCCAGTCAGATTAAAGGGGAGACTGATCACACCTGAGACCTGGTCCTTGTCAGGCAAAGGGCAGGAGAGAGTCCAGCTGAGGCAGGACTGAGACTCATTCCAGGAGGATCCTCCTGACTGTGGTCTAAGAGATGCTGCTGTTTCTGGGCATATTTTTTCCTAGAGGAGATTTGTGTTGTAAAAAGCAGAGAGATTGTGTAGAATGTGACTTGGACTAACAGGCAAAGGAAGGTCAGTGCAGGTCTGCCAGAGGGGAGTGACGTCCCCCAGATCTTCGTGGACTGTAGACCCAGCACCTCCCCAACAGGCGAAAACTGATTCAAGACATACAAGAAGTGGGCCTGGGTCAGGCTGCAGCTTTGTGATTGTGCACAGAGATGCTGACTGTTTCCCTGACCCAGAGTTCTAGACCTGGGGCCTCGGGAAGACATGGGCATTCAGGAATATGGTGAAGAGCTTATGGAAGAGTAGGGGACAACATGTAAGCTTCTCTGCAGAGTGCAGCACCATGCCAGATAACATGCGATCTGCGGCCCAGAAGAAGCACAGACATGACCTGCAGCTGACCCTCAGACCTGCTGCTCCGGTGAGAGGCTAGGGCAGCAGAAGGCTGGGCAGAGACAGCTAAGCAGACCAGGCTTGGACCCCTCATCTGGACAGGCTGGAGCATGCTTTGAGGCTTCCATTAGCCTCTCTGACAGATGCAGGGCCCTGACCATCTTTATTTCCCAGGGACCATCAACTGTCTCCTTATTCTTGGGGAGCCTGAAACAAAAGTGAACTTTGTGAAAATTTCTCAAGCTTTTGTGTGTGTGTATGTATACTATGTGTGTGTGCACAAGCGTGTGCATGTGTGTTGTCTGTGCACAGATCTGTGTGCACCAGAGTGTATGTGAGTGCGTTTATGTGCAAGCAGGCACATACCTGTGTGTTCGTGTTTTTGCGAGCATGTGAGTGCAGTGCATCTTTGCGCGTGTGTGGTGTGTGTGTGCATGTGTGTGTGAATGCAGTGCATGGGCATGTACGTGCCCATGTTCCCCACTCTTCCATAATGTGTGCATGGGCATGTGTGTGTGTGCGTGTGTGCACGCGCACGCTGTGGGAAGGTGAGGAGAGCATGGAGTCATTGCCTTCTGGTGCCGCCTCCCCCACCCTCCCTTCTGTTGTTGCCTCCACACTTCGTGGTAAAGGGCAGAGACTCTGGCGGAGAGTCAGGACCACCCCCTGTGTGATGAGTCTGCTTATCCTCACACTCATCCATCCGTCCAGTAAGCATCCTGAGCCTGGGCCATGTGCTGGGGCCTGCACCCTCAGCTCTGCTCAGCCCAGGGGCTGTGGGCAGAGGAGCTGCAGTGTGAGGCCAGGGCCTCTCTGAGCCCGGAGAGGCTGGTGAGTCAGAGGAGGTGGCAGCTGAGCTGAACTGAAGGGGCAGGAGGGATGGAGCTGTGGAGGAGGGGTGGGGGCAGAGGGAAAGGGGAGCTGACTGCCTGGCTGGAGGGGAGAACACATGGTAAAGGTTCTAGAAGGATGGCTGTGAGGGGCTGAGAAAGGTCTTGATGTTGGGGTCAAAAAGTGGCCTTTGGCTTTTTTTCATGGACAGCAGGAATAGTTTTGAATCAGAGTGACCGTATCAGGCCTGCACTTTTCCTCTGGTGGCATCTGAGGGGTTTGACAGCAGGAGAGAGGAGAGGAATGGGGTCTTGGGAGGAACTAGGGCTTTGCCAGACTTCCAGCCTCTGTGTGGGCATCCTTTGGGTCCATGAGGTTAGCAAGCACTTGGGTGAGGCCAGAGTGGGGCTTTCCCTTTATTCCCTCTTTTCCAGAAGTAAATGCAACACAGTTTGGAGCTAGTTGGACTGATGGGGCCATGGTGCAGGAAAGGGAAGCAACGGCATTGGCCAGGGTGCCCACCCTGGGAAAAGGGGGTCCTTAGCTGGACCTGCAGTTTCCAGGGGAGAACATGGTATGTTCAGGGAGGTGGGGATAGTCACGAGAGCCAGGTGTGGAGAGAAGCTTCGCCAAGGAGGCCTTGGGGTCTCAGGCGCTGAGGGGGTGAGGGAAGGGGATGTCAGAGAGCCGATGAAGGAGACCCAGGTGTAGACGGACCAACAGCCGTGCTGTGTGTGAAGTGGACACTCTGGCCCGACACTGTCTGCATGGAGTGTCTCCTGCCTGCTGGGGTCTCTGGAGTTTGTCGGGTTGCCATGTCTCCTGGATACTCCGTCTGTCCACCCCTGGGCCCCCAGCTGGGCGCTGCCTGTCCAGCCTCCCCTGGCTCCACCTCCAGGCAGCGCAAGGCTGAGCGGGCGGGATGGGCTCCTCATGCCTCCGTGGCCATAAGCTGTGACGTTTCCTTTCCAGTTTCTGGATCCATTGTAAGGATGTGTACAGTTTGTTGCATTGTATTGCGCCACCCATTGGCTTAGCGAAGAGCTGCCCTTGTAGGTTGGCCTACAAGGCTTGCTACTTCAGAGCCTCCATCTGACATACTCTTCCCTGCTCGAAATGCAAACACAGCACACGGTCCCAGCCTAGTGCGGAAGTGATGACACCTCTTGCTCCTCCTGCCCTGTCCTGCCCACACTCCAAGCCCTTGGACGGTTTGGTTTCTCATCTAACTCCTGACCCCTCCAGCTGGCTGGGGGCAGGCAGCCCCGTGAGACTGCACACAGAGCTTTCTTCTGGGCCCTGAGGACGAGGACCAGCCGCTGGTGGAAGTAGGGGGCCAGGTCCCACCCGTGCCAAGGAAGCAGCCGTCCCACGCAGATTTGCCTCTGGACTCTTGAGAGCAGACTGATGCTCACACAGGCCAGAGGCCAAGGGCCCCAGAGGAGGGGGTGTGGGCACAAGTAGACCAGGAACAGTGGCCCCAACAACCCAGGGTTCCAGATTTCTGCAGAGGAGAGCGCAGAGGCGGTGGGGACCCAAAGACAGGGCCTCCTGCTTCACCTCTGGACTGATCCGCTTGGCTGAGCCCAGGAGTCTTGGGAGGAGGACCGGACCCCGGACCATCTGGGCGGATCCACCGGCTGGAGAAGGCTGTCGCTTCTCTCTCTTGGGCGGCCTGAACCTGACCCTATCTCTGGGAACCCAAGCAGCTCCCATAAGCAGCTGTCCCAGGGGTGGAGGTGGGGCTTCCAGCCTGGTGGCCAGTCTGCCTAAGGAGGTTGCGGTCATCAAGCCTGAATGCCTACCTTGGTCTAGAGCCTTGTTCCGTATGTCGGTCCCTGCCCTTCCTGGTGTGCTGTCAGGAGGCTGCAGGAGTGGCACCAAGCCATATCCCATCCCGCGACCCCAACCCTGCAGTTTCCTGCCCAGCCCTGACAGAACAGTGGCCCTGCTCCGGGCAGGGCTTGGGTGTCTCTGGGCTTGTAGCAGGGCTCGCCCCCACGGACTTTGTCTCTAGAGCCTCGGGGCCCACTGCAGAACAGTGTGGCTCCCACACTCGTTTTCTGGCCTGCTTTAGGCTTTTCTCCAATTTTTAAGCCTCTTGGCTCATTTGGAAGCAAATTAGGCATGAAGGAAAGCTGATGTTTCTGCCGCGGCTCTCCAGACAGCGTCTTTGGTCACTGGACAGCTGTCTCCCAGCTGGCATGTTGAAACAGCTCTTTTCCAATTTGGCATTGTCCATGGCTTCTGAAAGTATAAAATCAGAGTTGACAACCCAAAGCCACCCTGATGCAGCCTCTGTCATCTCTCCATGTTCATTAGCTCAGATGCCCCCTGCTCACTCCCTGTGTGGGGCCAGAGTGTGGAGGTGAGGCTGGGGGGCTAGGAGGAGATTGAGCCCCCCACAGAAAGCCCTCATTTCGCTTGTTTTGACTTCTGGCATTTAATCTGATGCTGGTTAACTGGCTCTGTTTTCTTGTCTGCTTCCTCCCCCACCCTCCTGCCGTACCCCTCCCGTGGACCCCTCCTGTGGACCCCACTCTGCCTCTGTCCTATGGGCCGGGTCTCCAGTGGGCGCATCAGTTACAATGACATGTTTGAGATGCTGAAACACATGTCCCCGCCCCTGGGGCTGGGGAAGAAATGCCCTGCTCGCGTTGCATACAAGGTAGACCCCACCCCTTCACCCCACAGGCTGTCTGTGCTGGGCTCCCATCTCTTCCGGGGCTTGTCTGTCTGTCTGTCTGCTGCTCTACCGTCTCTCTGTTTCTCTCTTTTCTCTGTCCCAACCTTCTCCGCTTCCTTCCCAAACAGAGGGAAATAGACACTGTGAAGTGTCTCTACATGGGCCCCTTGTCCCCTAGGGCTGCCCCCTCTGAGAGCCCCCCCAAGAGGCTCAGGAAGATGGGGCCAGAGCCCAATATCTGCCTTTTCTCCTTCCCTTCTCTTCCTCAGAAAGGAGGGGACAAACTAGCTTTTTTGACAGAGGCTGTTTTTGTTCTGAGCTCAGGACCACACTCGGCTCCTCTGTCCCCCAAGCCTCTGATGTGGGCAAAGTTGTCCAGCTCTCAGTGTCTGGCCCTGCAAGGCCTCTGCAGGGTGCACCTGTGGAACCCACGCCCAGCTCTGTATGTGCTGAACTTCCCAGGCTATGGAGGGAGTATTGTCTAGAACTTCATGAGTCCATGGAGCCTTAGGAAGGAAGGGTGCTGGAGAGAGGCATCCTGCCCTCATTCCTGGGCCTCCAGAGGGTCCTGTGGGGGTGAGAACAACCTCTGGGGCCTGGGTGGTCCCTTGTCCCTCCCCCTCTGTTGCCGAGGGCCTAGTGGGCTGAGCTGCAAAGAGGGGGTAAACTGAGGACACTCCCAGGCCTCCCCCTGGGCACATGAGCAGGCCACGTGGCCCCATTCCCAAGTCTGCTCCTACCTGCCCCTGCATCCCCAGTCACACCCGCCTTGGCGAGTAAGCACTTCCCTCCCCTCTAGCACTCCCAGCCTGAGAGCCCTCTGGCAGCCCCAGTGGTTACGTGACTCAGCCAGTACAAGTCTGGAGCCTAGCTGCCATCTCCTTGTCTCTGAGCAGGCTTCCCACAGAGCTTTTGTCTGTCTGGTTCTGTCCATGTTGTCTGTTTCTGTGCTCTGATTCTGGGCTTGCATCTATCCCCTGGCTCAGCATAGCCTCTGGGAGCTAAGCGGCTCCTCTGGGCCATACGTGAAGCCTCCGGTGTCCTCCTTGGTCCTCCCTTGCCCGGCATGCATGTCAAGTCTGCCTAGAGGTCCTGCATGCAAGGCTGTAACACTGTCCTCAAGAAGGAGAGCTCTGTCCACACTGACACCTGGGGCCAGGGTAGGCAGGGAAGGCCATGATGGGATAGCCTTTGGAGTTCCTTCCTAGGTGTGCTGGCCAACTCCAAGGTTCTGGGCGTGAAGAGACCAGGGGAGGCCTTGAGTTTAGTGAGAGCAGATGGTCTTGGTGAGTTGGGGAGGGCCCAGGAGATGCACAGAGTGCCATGGCTAGAGGGTCTAGCCCCAGGCAGAGATGCCGGTCTGTTTGCCCTGGTCTCACCCCTCTGCTGCTCCCAAACTCCTGGCCCTTTGGGGCCTGGGCAGGCAGATGCAGGGCTCTGGTAAAGGTGCCCTGGATGGAGCTCTCCTCTCTGGGAAAACAGCTGCTTGTTCTTCCTTCATGCTGGCCCCTGACTCCCTGACTGCCCTTGAGAGGAATCCCTCTGCCTCTCCCACTGCCGTCGGTACTGGTCTGCAGGAGCACTGTGCTCTGGGAGCCGTGTGTGTCATACAGGTGATGAGCGAGGTCCTAGGACCATGATCGGAGATGCCAAGTGGGGCTTTGCCAGCATTAGGGGACAGAGTGTGGGTATTGTCTCCAGCCACCTGCCCTCCATCAGGCTGAACACTGGATTTGGTTCCAGAATGCTGGGGGTAGAGTGGCCTTACCCAGAGAAGGGACAGAGAGGCTGCCATATCACAGGGTTTAGGCTTGGCAGAGGACAGCATACCCCAGGGAGGGGCCCTGTACCCCCACCTCTAGCTCCCATCCTGGTAAGGAATAAAGAGGCTGCTGGGAGAGGACAGGGGCCCACAGTGCCCCCAAGGGCTCCATTTGGCCAACAAGGTGGCCACCTCATGATCAGGACATTCCAGACACATCTGAGACCATTTTCCTCCGGGAGATCACCTAAGTTCTTAAAGCCTCAGGCTCTGGGCAGCTGCTGGTTATTACCAGAGGATTTTGGTACAGACACACTCCTATTTCCAGCTGTTCTGTCCTAGAAAATGGAAGAGAGGGAAGGGGGCTGTTCACCTAATGGTGAAACAGGGAGAAAGCTTGCACAGCCCCCAGTCTGGTTAAGTGCTTGCGTCCCTGTGGGATGGCCCTGGGCCCTTGTGCAGCTGGCTGAGCCCGAGGCCCTTGCAGTCACCTCTGTTGGGTCCTTCCCCCGTACGGAGCTGGTCTCTAAGACTTTCCTTGTTGCCTTGGGCTGCTGCCATTGAGCATCCTTCCCTAGCCCCTAGCTAGGTGGTGAGACACAGAGGCCGTCCCGGGGCTTGTGTCTCCTCACTGGGAACTGACCTCCGAGCTTGCGGTCCTGGCTGCCCCACCACGTGCCTGATGCTCCTGTCTGTGGGCTGTCCCGGGGTCCTGCTGACCAGGCCCCTCTTCAGCCTAGGCCACACACTTGTGCTATCATGGGCAGTGGGCTGGGGTCCCTCTGGCTGAGACATGCCTGTTCTTTCAGAGGAATCCAGGCTTCTGGCCTGGCCCCATTGGACAGTATTTACCTGGACTGCTGTCTTTCTGTAGTCAAGGGAATCCTCAGCTCAGATGAGGGTAGGGGTCCAGGGATAGTGTGAATGCTGGCAAAACTCCCATCCACCCAACATCTCTTGGTCCTGGGACCCCTGGGAGGCCCGGCCTGATTTGCCCCCTTATCCCCAGCGCCTGGTTCGTATGAACATGCCCATCTCCAATGACGACATGACCGTCCACTTCACATCCACGCTGATGGCCCTCATCCGGACGGCACTGGAGATCAAGCTGGCTCCAGGTGAGAGAGGCAGCCCGGAGGGGAGGGCACAAAGCAGGGCCATGTGACCGCCCCACCCCCTCTGAGAGCCTCCCCAGGCCGCTGTGCAGGGCGGGGAGAGGGGCCTGTCTGGACAGCTCCTGGTCAGACCCTGACCTTGTCTCCTGAAGCCATCCTACACGGTAGCGCTGCAGTAACCCCATTTACATGTAAGGAAGCTGAGGTGGAGTGAAATTGAATGACCCCAGATTACCCATAGTCATGCAGTGCAGGAGCCTGTGTCACAGGAGCCAGTACCCCTGATAAGGTGAAGAGTGCCCCTTCCCCATCGTGAGCCTGGTCCCCACCTCAGGACCTCTCCTGGGTTCCTGACAGGACCATGAAGCCCCCACCAGACTGGGGAGGAAATGGACCCCCCGCTCGTCCTCCTCTCCCGCCCCCCTCCCATGGTGGCTGCTTTCCCTTCGCAGAGAGAATGAAGGGCCCTCCCCCTACGTCGCTTCCTCCCTGCATCCGTGCCCTTGAGCCTGGTCCTCTCTTGTGTAAACTGATGAGCTGAGGCCAGTCTCCCCTCTTTGCACATTCTGTACTATTTTCATCATCTACCCTAGGATGTCATGCCCAAAATTCTATATGCTATTTCTTGCTCTATCAACTTTCTCTTCTGGGTTATTTCTATCAATGTATAAATGTGCTGTTATTTTTCCTATTTTTTAAAAGTTCTTTTCTTCCCCTACCCACCCCGCCCCCCTCCATCAACTTCTCTGTTTTTCTTCTTTCCTTCCTAGCAACAGGAGAAATGGGTCCACATTGTCTCTGATTTCTCCTTTCCTAGTCTGCAGTCCAGCTTTCACAACACAAAGCTTTGCTGGCACTGCTCTTGTCAAGTTCTGCAGGAACTTCCCCTTGCCTTGTGGGCCTGTCCACAGCCTGTCGGTAGTAGTCCCTCCCTTTTGTGTAAGACCCCTTGTGCCTTTTTTTTCCTGTTTTTTCCCCAACCTCTGAAGGTCATTGTGTGCTTCAGACACACATTCTCACCTTTTCCCATGGCTTTACATGTTGTGAATTCTAGTTTTGTATTTTTAGTCCAGGCCTGCTCCTAAACCCCAGGCTTATATAGCCCACACATCACTTGCCAACTCTGCTTGGAGGCCCAATAAGCATCTAGAATCCACGTGCTGACCCTCGTGCTCCAGATACTCCCCAGATGCCTCCCTGTCTCAGTCAGTGGAAACACTCTTAGAGTTACTCAGGCCAACACTTTGGGCATCATTTTTATCTCCTACTTTTTTCTTATCCTATTTCTGATCCATATTTCTGAACCCTTGCAACATCTGACTCCACCTTCAAAATGCACCCAGAATATGATCAATGTCTACTCTCTCTTCCTGCCACCTCTGGGTCCACGTCACTCTCTGTCAGGTCTTCGATGGGATTGTTGCAGTAGCCTTCTCACTGGTCTGCTTCTGCCCTTGCCCTTGCTCCCTTCAACACAGCAGCCAGAATGGTCATGCTAAAAATCAAACCAGTAACATTAACAAACCTCTAGCTAGCCTGATCATAAAAAACAGAAGATAAAAATAACCTATATAAGGAACAAAAGAGGGAGCATCGCTATATATCCTGCTGACATTAAATGGATAACAGGGAGATTTTATGAACAACCCTGTGTGGATAACTTCAGTAACTTAAATGAAATGGAAAAATTCCTTGACACAAACTATGAGGCTCTTTCAAAAACAGATAACCTGAAAAAAGGAAATAGATAGCCTGAGTAATACTGTATATATCTCTTTCAAAAATAGATAACCCGAAAAAAGGAAACAGCCTGAGTAATACTGTATATATTAAATAAGTTAAATTCATAGTTAAAAATCTTCTAAGAAAGAAAATCATGGATCTAGTTGGCTCCATTGATGAAGTCAACCAAACATTTAAGGAGGAAATAATTCTATACAAACTCCTCTAGACAGTAGAAAAAGAGAAGATGGTTCCCAATTTATTTTATGAGGCCAGCATTGTTCTGATACCAAAACTAGACAAAGACATTACAAGCAAAGATGATAGACATTCCTCATGAAGACAATAAAATTTTCAGTGAGTGTTAGCAAACTGAATATGATGACTAAAGTAGGATTTATCCCAGGAATGAAAAATGCAAACGAGCTCAATCAATACAACTTAATATGTCAAAGAAGAAAAACTACATGATTATCTCCATAGATGCAGAAAAAGCTTTGACAAAATTCAGCATCCATTCATGATACACAAATACTATTGTAAACTAGAAATTAAAGCCAACTTCTTCGGTCTGATCAAGGGTATCTATGACAAACCTACAGCTAATGACATGCTTAACAAAGAAGCCTGGCTCCTTTCCCCCTAAGATGAGTAACAAGGCAAGGATGTCTGCTGTCACTATTTTTGTGAAATATCATACTTGAGGTTCTAACCATTGTGACAAGTCAAGAAAAAGAGATAAGAGGTGTGCCAATTGGAAAGGATGAAAGAAAATTGCCTCTATTCATGACTGACGTGATTTTCTATGTAGAAAATCTCAAAGAATAGAATAAAAAGTTAACAAAACTGAAGCATCTACATGCCTAGGAACATGAAGCATTGCTGGAACCACTGAAACCTAGAAAGAGACAAGAAGGCACTTCATTAGAGCCTTCAGAGTGATCACAGCCTCGCTAATACCTTGATTCTCTGGCCTCCAGAACTGAGACGGTATATTTCTGTTGTTTAAAGCTGTAAAAAGAAATTACTAAAACTGAAACGTGAGTATAGCAAGGTCAATATATAAAAAACAAGTATATTTCTATAGATTAGCTATTGAAATTGAAAAATGTTCCACCCAAATCATCGAATATTTTTATAACTCTAAAAATATATATGCTAGCATGTGTGCCACACATTTCAGAATATTGACCAGAAGAATCTCCTTTAATAAATAAGCCACATTCATGCCTTGACAGAATCAGTATTGTCATTTCTTCTTCTATTGATCAGTAGAGTCAATGTCATCCCAATCAAAATTCCAGCAGGCTTTTTGAGATGAGCTTTAGAAACTGACCCTAAAATATATGTAGAAAGCAAACAAACTTGAATGACAAAAACAATTTTGAAAGGAAAGAAAAAAAATGACAATATTAAGTACTGAGGAGAATGCAGAAAACTCAGATTCTTGTGTTCCTAGTGTGGACACAGTGGTGCAAGCTGCTTTGGAAAAGTCTCGCAGTTCTTTATCATGGGGCCCAGCCATCCCGCACCTAAGGGGGATGACATGAAAATACACACATACAAACCTCTCTGCTGAAGTTTGCAGCTTTATTCATAATCACCCCAAACTGTAAACAACTCAGGTGTCAACCAAGTGGTGACCGATAAGCAGACTGGTGTGTCTTTGTGATGAGACAGTTCTCACTCAGCAACTGAGAAAGAGGTTGCTGATGTGTTGGCGTGGGTGGGTCTTAGACACATCATGCTGGGTGGAAGGTCAGACTCGACAGCCAGCATGTTATGTGATGCCATCTGTATGACATTCTGAGAAGTTGAAATAGTAGAGACAGAAAACACATTGGTGATGCCAGGACCCTGGAAGGGGTTGAAGGGGTGGAACACAAAGGGTGCAGAGGGAGTTGGGCAGGGGTGCCATGCTCCTGCCTGAATTGTGGTGAATCCACAACTGTGGATGTGCACTTCACAGAGTGGAGGGACTAACAAGGAGAATGTCCTTATAGATAATCATACCTTGATAACCAGGATGCTTGAGGAAGGTTAGGTCAGAGCACAGCATCCCTCTGCTCGGTCCCTCTGCGGCTCCCTCTCTCAGTAGCCCCCACTTGCACTTCTGTTCCTGCTGCTGCGGCCTTGCCCTACTGGCTCCCTGGCCTCCTCTGTCTCCAGGGTCCTGTGAACAATGTTCCTGACTGTCTGTCCACACTGCAGCCCTCCTGACAGTTCCCATCCCTCCCTCCTGGCTTTTCCTGTATCCAAGTTACTGGATGTTTAACTTACTGTTACTGTATTATAGATTAAAATCATGTGATTCCTCGGGGCAATTTCTTTTGATTTTGTTCCATCACCTAGAACAGCACCTGTCATTTGGCAGGTGCTCAGTAAATTTAATGGAATGACGAATGGAACACTGGCTGGAACACTGTTAATGGCTGGAACACTGAGGCGTCCCCTCCCCTCCCTGCTCCTGCCCATCACTGCTGCTTTCCCACGCACCCTCGCTCAGCACCACACCTCTTTAGACACATTTTGCCTGGGAGCTCTCTGACCAGCCCTCACGGCAGTGCTTCTTACCCAGCAACTTTCCCCCAGGATCAGGTCTCTCCCCACCCAGCTCTGCCTGTTCCCCTGTGGGGCTAAGGGATGGCTCCTAACAGCTCTCCCCCCTCCCCACCCTTGTCCTGCCCCAGCTGGCACGAAGCAGCATCAGTGCGACGCAGAGCTAAGGAAGGAGATCTCCTCCGTGTGGGCCAACCTGCCCCAGAAGACCCTGGACTTACTGGTGCCTCCCCATAAACGTAAGTAGGGTGAGAAACTCACCCTGCCCGCCCCCTTTCATGTCCCAGTCAGGGACAGAGTCGAGAGTCCTAGGTGAGGGCAACTGTTGAGTCACCTTGAAGGGGAGGGCTCACCTCCTTGATAGCCCGAAACTCTGGTCTCCATGGTGGGTGCACAGGGGCTGTGGGAGGAGGTACCGAGGCCATGTTCCATTGAGCAGAGTCACCCACACTCTTCGTGTGGGGACTTCCCTGCAGAAAATCCAACCCGTCCTCGGGTCCAGGAGTCTTTACCCAGACTCCCTGCGTGTCGCCTTTCTCTGTATTCCCTCCCTTGCCTGTCGTGCTCTCCAGCCGACGAGATGACGGTGGGGAAGGTGTACGCAGCTCTGATGATATTCGACTTCTACAAACAGAACAAAACCACCAGAGACCAGATTCACCAAGCTCCCGGAGGCCTGGCCCAGGTACCAGTTTCCAGGAGTCCCAAAAGTAACCCTGAGATTCTGGCACCTTCTGTTGTTTGGCAGCAGAGGGGACCCAGCCCCTCCTTGGAGAAAGTGCAGCGGGAAAAGGAAGATGAGAGGTTCTTGTGGCTGCCTCGCCAGCCCCCAAAGTCAGAAACCCCACCCAGCCTGTGCTCCCGTTGACTGGTTGCCTGTTGCTGTTCAGGAGCCCCTTGCGTGGAGGGCTGGTCACGTCCAGGGCAGAGATGTGGGCTGAGAGCAGCGGCCGCAGCCCATGCTGCTGCTTTGCAGAGTACTTGGGAGGGGCACACAGGCAGGGCCCCCGACAGCCCAGTCTCATGAGGGTCCCACTCACGCCTCTGAGTGGGGTGGTTTGGGGCCTGTCTTCCAAGAGGTCATCCTCCAAAGATGACGACTTCATCACAGCCCAGACCTTGAGCGAGCGTGTGTAGACTCTCATCTCTAAAGTTGTCTGGTGTCCAGAGCTTACAGGACATTCACCCCTGTCATGTGAAGTGTCTGGTGCCCACACCCCAGCTCTGAAATCTCCAAATTCTTCTCAACCTTCAACTCTAGTGGTCTCTGCCAGGCAGGCCAAGTTGATGATGAGGTTCAGTCCCCAAACTGTGTAGGAAGGGAAGCTGAGGCTCCAAGGAATGATAGGACTCTCCTGAAGTCACTTACAGGCCCAGTTGGGAAGGGGCTCCTGATGGGCACAGGGCAGGCCCGGGGATCCCCTTCCCATGCTGGGGGGGTCAAGGGCAGGTGGCCGAACACGGCAGCGCCCTTGTCCACGGTGCCTCGCAGGCCTCAGAGACCCCTCCCCGCGTCCTTCTGCAGATGGGCCCCGTGTCCCTGTTCCACCCCCTGAAGGCCACGCTGGAGCAGACTCAGCCGGCTGTGCTCCGAGGAGCCCGCGTTTTCCTTCGGCAGAAGAGCTCAGCCTCCCTCAGCAACGGTGGGGCAGTGTGAGTGCCAGCAGCAGGCGTGGGGCGGGGGTGGGAGGAGGGCGGGGCTCCCCGGCTCCAGCCGCTCTCACCCCTGCTGCTCTGGTGTCCTTCCGGCAGCGCTCCAGGACAGGGAGCCCCTGGGTCTTGTCAGCACCCACCTGCACCCACTGTGGGCCCAGCAGGCCCGGGCGGCCCCCAGAGCTGGTTCTGTGGCTGACCTGCAGCTCATTCCTGTCACAGTGGACGGTGCTCTTGTGGCGCCCGGGGCGCCTGAGTCAGGCAGCCTGTTACTCCAGCCTGCGCCTCCCAGTGTGTGCTCCTGCTTCTCTGTCGCGTGAAGGCTTCCCTCTGCTTCCTCACTGGCCTTTGTTGCCTGCAGACCATTAAGAAGCTTTTGTTTCCACCTCAGCTTCTCACCACTTTTTGGTAATGGCCATTTAGGTGTTTTCATCTTCCTTTAAGAGACTTTTCACCTCAGATCTCCATTTTGGTTATATATATATATATATGTATCTATATCTATATCCATATATTTGGCTGTGTGAGGTCTTGGGCGTCCCATGTTGAGTAGTGGTGAAGAATCCACACAATGCAGGAGACGTGAGTTCCATCCTTGGGTTGGGAAGATCCCCAAGCCCATAGGGTTGCAAAGAGTCAAACACAGCTGAGCATCTGAGCACGCACTCACGCTGGGTCTTAGTTGCAGCATACAAACTCTAGTTGTGTCACGTGGGATCTAGCTCCCCAACCAGGGACTGAACTCGGGCTCTCTGCATTGGGACCTCAGAGTCTTAGCCACTGGACCGCCAGGGCAGTCCCTCCATTTGATGTCTGCATTTTGTAGCCAAATTGGTAAGATCCTTCCATATCATGTAACTCTTGGTACTGACCCTCAGTAATTCTTGGTAATGACCCCAAAAGCAAGTGATGTAAAATAACAATCACCATGGGACTCTGGCTGAGGGGCAGAAGGTGGTGCCAGGCTGAACTGTACCAGAGGGCAGGATTCTCAGTCGCCCTCCAGGCCAGGGGTCCTACGTCAGCTAATATCCCCTTGGCCAAAGCAACTCATTTGTTGAGCCCAAACAACATGCACTCTGCCTCACCGGCAGGGGCCGAGGGTGGGCCTCACACCCATCTGCTGTCCTAGAGAGCAGCAAGGTCGGCAGCACACATGGCTAGGTCTCCCGGTTTCTTCCTCTCCTCTGTGTGTTTTGGACATTTGGTTTTGAAGCCGAGTCTGGGTTCATGGGCTGCTCGCCATGTAGCTTTTGCTGAGTAATAAACTGCCGTATTTCGGGAGCCCACCTGGCAGCGCTCCAGACCTGGTCCTGCGTCAGGACGGCTGGGGTCCTGGGTGCATCTGTATCGTGAGGCCAGAGAGCGGCCCTGGGGAAGTGCAGGCTGCAGGTGTCAGGCCTCCCCCTCTGCCCTGTTGGCCAAAACAAGTCACTTACCAGGCCCAAGCTGCTGGGATGGGGGGTGGGTGGTGGCACTGCAAGGCCCAAGTCCAGAGGCAGAGATGCCATAGGACACCGGGAGAACCTGAGCCCAAGTGGGAAGACTCCCTCAGGAAACCCCTGCTCGGGAAGAGTGCCTGTGGGCCCCGGGGACAGTGGCTTTTCTCCATATTGGTTAAGATCCCGTTTGCGCACTTAAACAGTGGATTCTGAGTGTGCATGTGTGTGCCAGAGGGGATGGGGTAGGGAAGTGTCTTTGTGGATTGATCTGAGCTGAGCTTTCGGTTCAGGAGAATGAGTGTCGCTTTTTCCCGTGGTTATAATGTCTGCACAAATCAGTCACCACCACTTTTTGTTGCATGTGAGAGAGGGCCCAGTCTACTGGGGCCAGGCAGTGGGGGCGTTTATTGAGTCCTCTGACGGGTGGTATCAGTGCCTGCCTGGTCTCAGCATGGTGTGACCTCAGGGGTGACCAGGCCTTGGGGCCAGTGTCTGTCCTCTTGGCTATGCTTCCCCTCAGGGTCCGCCTCTTCTGAGGCCGCAGCTGCTCCAGACAGCACAGGACAGGGGCGGTGCTTGCAGCCTGGGAAGATGAAGGATGTTCTCAGAAACCTCAGCGATGCTGGGTCAGGTCATTTGTGTGGCCAGCTGAGGGCATCAGGCTTCACCTCCAAGCTCAGAGTGTGATTGTTACCACCCATCCTGGGTAACGGAGAATGTATGTGATACTTCATTGAACGCGAGAGCAAGCAGAAACCCAGGCAAATGCTGGGCCATGTGGGAGACATACTAAAACACACTGAGAGGGTGAGGGCAGGCAGGTGGGTTGCGTGTGCTGGGAGGGCCTCCAAAAGTGGTCTCGCCAGAGGTGATCTCGGGGCAGAAAGGCACAAGTCCAGGGAGGAGGGATGAGCCCTGGCTGTCAGGGTTGATGAGCGGCAGCACCGGCTGGGTGCCTCTGTGTGTGTGCGTGCGGCCTTGTCCTTGCTGTGGACTGTCTGTGCTTCCACCGCACATGTGAGCCCCTGTGTAGGCCAGCTGCCCCCAGATTCGGGTGCCTCTGTGTGTGTGCATGCGGCCTTGTCCTTGCTGTGGACTGTGCTTCCACCGCACATGTGAGCCCCTGTGTAGGCCAGCTGCCCCCAGACTCGGGTCTCCTCTCCGCCTTTCCGCTCCGGGCCATGGCAGGCAGTCCACTGCACCTGTGCTGAGGCTGTTGCTGCACCTCCACTTGGGAGCATCCACATTCAAGGGGTCTCATCCCTCTGGGCTCCTTCTAGCCCAGAACAGGGTCAAGGTGGAGGTTCCTGGCAGGGCGGAGCCTGGTTCTGGGTGGGAGCCAGGTTCTATGGCCCACGGGCCTCCAGGCCAACAGAATGATCCTCTGTCCTCCATAGACAAACCCAAGAGGGCGGCATCAAGGAGTCTGTCTCCTGGGGCACTCAGAGGACCCAGGAGGTACCCTGTGAGGTGAGGACACCCCTGGAGCGTGGCCACTCCACAGAGATCCCGGTGGTGCAGACAGGAAAACCGGTGAGGGCTTCCAGGGCTGGGGGCCGAGTTGGGGGTTGGGTGAGAGTGGGTGGGGGAGGGTGAGAGCAGCATGGGGGGTGAGGCTGGGATGTGGGGGGAGGTGAGAGTGGGAGGGGGTGGGTGTGACGGGGGGGGTTGCTGTACCCCCAGGCTGTGGACGTCCAGATGCAGAGCATGGCCCTGAGAGGCCCTGACGGGGAGCCCCAACCCGGGCTGGAGAGCCAGGGCCGAGCGGCCTCCATGCCTCGCCTGGCAGCAGAGACTCAGGTGGGTGGTCTGGGAGGGTTGGGGTTGTGGGAGGGGGTTGGAGGTGAGGAGACCTGGCATAGAGGAGTTTTGCATCCCACGGGTGGGCTTTGCTGGGGTGAAGCTTCCCAAATGCACCACGTCAAGGACAACCCCAACCCCGCTGGAAACCCTCTGGAGGTGTTGTCAGGCCGTCTAGAGTACCCACTGCCCTCTGTGCTCAGCACCTGTCTGGGCACCAAGGCCTGCAGCCCACAGGTGGCCCTGTGTCCCCGACCTAGCCTTTCCCTCTCTCTGGGACACACCTCTCCCACCCTAGCCCTGCTCCTCCCCCAGAAATCAATGCCTCCTCCTGCCACCCTTTCCCCTTTCATGTCCTCTCAGAGGCCCGGGGGGTGACCCTGTTCTTTCTCTGGGACACTTGACAGCCTGGCAGGAAGCCCCTGGGTTGCGGCTGTGTGCTGTGTGTTTCCTGGGCTGAGTCCCTAGGCAGAGCACTCTTCCAGTCCCTCCCTGCCCCGTCTCTGCCCACTTGCTCAGTGCCCTCCTGGCCCGGCCACCTCCCCTTGGTGCCATGTTGGCGCCCCTTCGCCCTCTGTGGTGCTTGACCTTGACGGTGGCTGCGGGTGAGCGCATTTCCACGGGTCTTGATTTCAGCGCTGGAGGAGCAGCTTCACAGTCCTGGATGGATGGAGGGCTGGCAGAGTGGTTGACAACGGCTGCCAGGCAGCTCTGGGTCCCACTTGGGACCCTTCCAGCCAGGCCAACAGCCCCTCTTCCCAGCACCTTTCCTGTCCTGTAGGGACTTTGAGGCCCAGAGGCTACCTGGGCCTCACCTGGCCTGGGAGAGACAGACACATAAATGGCAACTTGTGCAAAGGGTGCTTTGGAAGAAAGGGTGGATCTCAGGTGGGGAAGAGTATTCCAGGGAGAGGGAAGGGCCTTGCGGTCCCTGAACCCCAGCCCCACAGTGGTCCTCCCCAGGCCAGGCCCTCCTAGGCACTATCCTTCCCCCTGTCCCCACCTTCCTGGGCGCTCAGCCTGCCCTGTCTGGGGAGATACCCCAGCTTCGGGGATGGAGCCCCAGGTCCATTCCTCCCGATGGGATGTGTCCTGTGGTCTGCCAGCCCCCATAGCCTGGCTGCTGCCTGGAGGCTGGACCCCACTCTCAGGCTGTGTGCCCACCCGTGTCCCCGTCCACAGCCACCCCCAGATGCCAGCCCCATGAAGCGCTCCATCTCCACACTGGCACCCCAGAGGCCCCATGTGGCTCATCTCTGCAACGTGGCCCTGGACCGCGCTCCAGCCAGCCAGGCTGCCCCCCACCACCACCACCGCTGCCATCGCCGCAGGGACCGGAAGCAGAAGTCCCTGGAGAAGGGGCCCAGCCTGTCTGCAGATACAGATGGTGGTGCGTGCGAGGGGGCTCTCAAGGGGTGGTGGCTCCAGTTGGGGTCCAAGAATCCCTGCAAGACCTTCTTCCCTTCTGTAACTCATGACCCCATGGGAAACTCTGAGTGTGGAGACAGGACAACCTCCCAGCCTTTCCCCTGGGATCCCTGCTGGCCCTGAGGAACCAGGCCTGGGTGAGGTCTGTGTCCCCCCAACCCCAGTCACTCGACTGACTTCCGTTCTCCCCTGGCCAGCACCCTATAGCACCGCGGGGCCGGGGCCCCCGCCGCCCCCAGGGGATGGGGCAGCAGGCTGCCGACGGGAGCGCAGGCAGGAGCGGGGCCGGTCCCAGGAACGAAGGCAGCCCTCCTCCTCCTCCTCTGAGAAGCAGCGCTTCTACTCCTGCGACCGCTTTGGAGGCCGTGAGCCCCCACAGCCCAAGCCCTCTCTCAGCAGCCATCCGACATCGCCCACGGCTGGGCAGGAGCCAGGACCCCCGAGACAGGTACGTGGGGCCCGGGAACCCTCCATGCTCCCACCCGCACCCCATTCCCTTGGGCCCTGGGAGGGAGTCCTTTCCTGTCCTTGTTCCCAGGCCAGATCCTGCTCCTGGCTTCCTGGCCTGTCCATCCCGCCTGGCGGGGCCTTGGCCCTCCTGCTTCCCAGTGCCTTCTTTCTCTCCTTCCCACCTGAGATAGGCTGGGCTGTGCTCTCCTCTTCCCTGGCCCTGTGCCCAGCCCCTTCTGGCACTGCTCTCCCACCCTCCTGGGGCCGCCCTTGTTCATCCCACCTGCCTGCGCTCCCTGGCTTCCCTCTGTGCACCCTGTCCTTTGATTTGGGTTTGCTCTGTTCCCTTTTCTTGCAGGGTAGTGGCTCCGTGAACGGGAGCCCCCTGCTGTCAACATCTGGTGCTAGCACCCCGGGCCGCGGCGGGCGGAGGCAGCTCCCCCAGACCCCGCTGACGCCCCGTCCCAGCATCACCTATAAAACAGCCAACTCCTCGCCTGTCCACTTTGCCGGGGCTCAGACCAGCCTCCCTGCCTTTTCCCCCGGCCGGCTTAGCCGTGGCCTTTCAGAACACAACGCCCTGCTCCAGAGAGACCCCCTCAGCCAGCCCCTGGCCCCCAGCTCTCGGATTGGCTCTGACCCTTACCTGGGGCAGCGTCTGGACAGCGAGGCCGCAGCCCGCACCCAGCCTGAGGACACGCTCACCTTCGAGGAGGCTGTGGCCACCAACTCGGGCCGCTCCTCCCGGACTTCTTACGTGTCTTCCCTGACCTCCCAGTCCCACCCCCTCCGCCGGGTGCCCAATGGCTACCACTGCACTCTGGGGCTCAGCTCGGGCGGGGGCGGCCGGGGGCGGCACAGCTACCACCACCCCGACCAAGACCACTGGTGCTAGCCGCACCGCCCGGCGGGCGTGTCCAGGTGATGAGTTTTATCATCCGCGCTGGGCCCCGGGGGCGCTCGGGGCACCGAGGTGGGCAGCAGCCCTGGGAGGAGGGCCTGCCCCGTCTCTCCTCCTCCAGCGGGATGAGTGGTTTGTAGAGGGAGGTTGCTCCCTCTCCACCCCTTCCACGCTGCCTCCCTGGGTCTAGGCACAGACCCCACACAGGACACGGCTGGGTGTGCTGAGGGGGAGCCGGTGAAGAACCCAGCATCCAGGGTGTGTGCTGGGAACGTTCCGTAGGAAGTCTGCATCTTGTAGGGATCATCTTTTATCCAAATGTATGGTACAGAGGAGCAGGTGAGACCTCAGCACAGAGTCAGTGCAGATGGAGCAGGTCTCGTCAGCATCCTCACACCAACAGTCTGGGCGCCCTTCGTACCTGAAATGGCAAACAAGCACTAGAAACACACGCAGACACGGTCCTCTCCTGACAGCCAGCCCTCACAGGGACCAAACCTGGACAACATTCTTGATGTTGGCTTTGGTTTTTAGTCACAACACCCTTCACTCTTCTGTCGACTATGTATTCAATCAAAAAATAAACAACCAGAATAATGGGGAAGGGAACAGGAACGTAACAGTAAAATATCCAACCTGTAGGAGGATCTCAGCCTTTCAGGATGTGTGTTCCTGGCTTGCTCGAGGAGATGCTCTGCGTCCAGTACAAGCGGCCAACAGGACCGCCCAGCTCCCGCTGCTCTCGACCAAGTGCCTGACCTCCGAGCCCCGCATGCAGGCTCCCAGGGGCCCATCACCGTAAGCGGGCTTTGTGGAGACTATTCCAAACAGCAACTGAGTAGAAGGCGGACGTACTGGAGAACGTGCAGAAAACACCCAGTAGATGGGTCGTAGCTGGGATGAAGCGGCTGTTGCTCCTTTTCCTCAAACCAGTAGAAAGGCTGCAGGGCGTGTGGAGAGAGGCCCGTGTGGGCGATCAGTCTGTTCTCCACTCGATTCTCAGGGATGCAGGGTGCAATCTCTGTAGGTGTGCAAGTTTCTTTCCACAGAAGGCTCATTGGGGAGAGGCTGGTACAAGGGGGAGATGGCACAGTGGGGGCAGAAGTGCCCAGGTCTGAGCAGATGAGGGCAGTTGGGAACCACACTGAACCAAGGCTGGAAAGTGTATGCAGGAGCAGCTCGGCTGTGGCTGCTGTGCTGGGCGTCTGAGCCCACACTGGCTCTGGCATAAGACGTGGGAAAGCAGGCAGCAAAAGGGAGTCCAGCTTCAGGGCCGCATTCAAAACAGAGAGACCACAGTTAGGATGTGGTACATAAAACACTGGGAGACCCTTTGTTTTGTGAATGAACGGAACATTTAGATGAGTCGATTCTGGTATGTACTCCATATTTTGAAGTGTGAGATGACCTCTTTGCTGGATCATTTGAGTGTTCCCATTGGCTGTTACCCCATGATTCTCCTAGAGAAACTTGGTGTGTGATGTAAGTGTGCGTGTCTGTGTGTCCCAGCGAGTGGATGCCGTTAACCCATAGGGCTATGCAACAAAAGACACATGTTTAACAGAAATAAAACACACAAGACCGCCACCTGTTCTAGGGTTTCAGCATGATTGTGACCAAACCATTTTATAGAATTTCCTTACTCGAAGGCACAACACTCTGAAACTTTAAGAAAACAGAGTATTTTACTCCAATAGGATATGACGAAAATCAGAATCTCCGACTGTGCATGTGATCACTGGCTCCGGTTGCAAAGCAGAAGGATGTGTATCTTGGTACTGATGTTTTGTCTCTGATCCCCCCAGCCCATATTATTTTGAATGTATTCATTCTGTGCTGAATCATAGCTGCTTCCCCAGGCCATATTGGGCAGAGAATCCACTTTGCTAGACCCACACAGCCTTGCTGGTTTGTCTGGATCCTTCCAGACACTGGAATTGGTGAAAAATTATAGACAGTGAGGGAGAGACTGTGTCTTGTTTTCCCAACTCTGTGTTTTGTTTCTGTGCTGTCTCTTCTCAACTATCATATTTCCCTCAAAATCTCATAGTGAGTTGCCAAATTTGAAATGCATCAACCAGTTGTCTGCATCTGGAACCAGTCAAGCAGTGGCTGTAGTTTGAACAAGTTATGTGTGCATGTAAAATATATACATATATACATATATTCAAGTATGTGCATGAAATGTATATCTTCGTACTTTTTGATACAATGTATTCATTTGTTAATTTTTAATTATATTTGATATAAATCAAAGGTTTGTTGCAAAACTTTATATTTAAGAACAGTGTTAAAAAAAAAAAAGAGAGTCCCAACCATGCAACACAACTGGGACTCACTTTTAAAAAAATTCTGTGATTGACTAGTTTGCTGCCTGAGTAATATTTATCAGCCAAACTTTGGATTCCACTGTTGTTTCTACAATGACATTTTGTATGAAGCAAAGTCCTTGGATTAAAATAAAACTTAGCAAAAAATCAAAAACAGAACCCCACCATGCTGCTGGGTGATGTATACAAGGGGTGTGGAGGCAGACGTCTGAGCTGTCTCTGTGGGCATGTGGCTGAGTACACAGTGAGCAGAGCTCAGAAGAGGCTGAAAACCTCTTCAACTTGCTCTGGGCCTGGTTAAGATGCAAGGATTAGCTCAGCTTTGGGGTGAGGATCCAGGTAAACCTGTGGCTGGAGGAGCCAGGGTAAGGCCTTACAGGGGATGTGGTTGTTTTTTAGGGTTAGGAATATAGTGGTGGGTAGGTTAAGGTTGGGGATGAGCAGGCATTGGCTGAGGTTTGGGGTGACTGTTAGCTACATTAGTGGTTAGAGGTCACAGTAACAGTGTTAGATTTGAGTTAAGTTTGGGGTTGAGGTCGGTGTAAGTTAAAGTTAGGGTTAAGAATTAGGGCTTAGGATTAGGTTTAGGCAAAGGGTTTGTCCATATAACCACTAACAATACAGGGTTATGTGGGTATAAAAATTAAGATTTTGTTCAGTTTAGAGTTCATTTAGAAAAGACATAAGTGAGCAGTACTAGGTTCACACAAAAATAAACATTATGGCTCTGATTATACTGGAAAAAGGGATTGGAGTAGGGTTCGAATTTTTAGCCTGTTCTGATATGGGCCTATGTTTAGAGTCAAGGGTGATGTAGGAAAATGGTCAGGTCAGAGGTTGGGGTTAGGGAGCAGTGTAAGGTTCAGAGTTAGAGGATCAAGATTAAGGATAGAAATTCAGGCTCAGTGCTCAAGGTTAGAAGGTAGGGTCAAGGTCAGGGTTGGAAGGTCAGGGACAGAATTAGAGGGAACAGTAAGAGGATGAGGTTTTGAGGAACCAGAGTCAAAAGATGCAGGTTAGAGGGTCAGTGTCAGGGGTTAGGTTAGATGGTCTGAGTCAGGGTCACGGTTGGAAGTCTAGGGGCTAAGTCCAGCATCTAGGGGTAAGGGATTAAGGAGTATTAGGGCACAGAGTCGGACACGCCTGAAGTGACTTAGCAGTAGCAGTAGCAGGGTTTAGATTTAGAGGTAGGAGGGTTGGTTTAAAGGGTTAGTGTTAGTGTTAGAGTTAATGGTAGAGGTTTGGGTGTTTGAGTTAGTGTAATAATGCTGGGGTTAAGCATAACTGGTCCATGCCCTCTTTCCCTCTCCTCCATAACTCCGAGGCCTCTGGGATGAACAGGACTTTCCCTGGATTGCTTGTGGGGGTGCAGTTGACCTGGAGTGCTGGTCGTCACTTCTGAGTCCTGAGTTTGGGGCAGAGGAGTGAAATGTCTGTTCTGGTCACCAACAGTGTCAAATCCAATTCAGCCTCGGTCAGTGGTTGTTAGGGCCTCAGCAGGTTGTTATTGTCCACAGGGTTTCCTCCCACCATGTGACCTGGGGAGGGCAGTGCCTGCCCCACTCTGGCTGGACAGCACCAGGCCCAGCACAGGCCTGACTGAAGGCATTCAATGGTCATGTGTGAATTTATACAGAACTTGGTGCAGCGACTGACCAACCCTCAGGTGCTGCCTCTTGAGTGCTTCTGGGGCCCTTCTGGGACCACAGGCATCCCCTGTCCCATTAGAGTGGGCATCAGTGGACATCAAGTCTCAGGACAGCCCTTGACCTCTGACCGTTCAGGCAGTCATCCGTGGTCCACCAGCTCAGGCAATCCTGGTCCCTGTCAAGCCCCTGTCTCCAGTTATTGAGCTGACCGTGTTTCTGGGCCACTGAACAGCTATCTGGGCAGTGTGGACAACCCCTTGGGATGTTTCAGTTACCAACATCCATGTGACTGAGAAAAGGGTCTCCCTCTCACAGCCTGGCAGCCTGTCAAGACAGGCAATAGCAATCTAAACATCTGTGTGTCCTTGTTCACAACAACCGTCCAGCAGACCACGGCCCTGCAATCCTTTGGCCTGCCAGGTGTCACAGATTTTGACAGTCATACTCATCACGACTCAAAGATATGGGGGCAGCTGTGCCTCCTCAGAGGAGGTTCTCGCTGAGGCTGCCGGGTCTTGGGGAGCCACGTGCACCCATGTAGGCTCTGAGAGCTGCCAGTCCTGGATTCCATGATGTGGAGCAACCTTGAGCCTCCGACTGCTTCACTGAGCAAGTAGTCTCTGCTGTTTTTAAGAGAGGGAGGAGACTGGATAAATGAGCAGTATTGCTCTTGGGGGCTGGGTAGGTAATGTGGCTTGGGGCAGGTGTGACTCCTAAGCTCCCACCGAGTGAGGTCTGTGCCTTTTCCAAGTGGAAGGGCTTCTTGCTGTCAAGGGAGGACCAACCACAAGGGCACTGGACGGATGGCTGCAGCTCCTGACCCTCAGTCAACCCTCCTTCCTTGGCCTTCACGTCCCACAGCTGTTCCGTGGGCTGTCAGTGATGTGGAGTCTGCTGTTTTCCTCGAGCCAGCATGTTCTTGAGTCAAAGCCTGGAACCTCAGCTTTCCTTAGGGAACTTCTTACCTGCGTCTAATATGAATGTTTTCAGAGAGTTGACCCCATGTTCCACCCAC